ACTTCAGGACAGAGACCTGAGACCAGGACTAATGTGAGAGGACTTCAGGACAGAGACCTGAGACCAGGACTAATGTGAGAGGACTTCAGGACAGAGACCTGAGACCAGGACTAATGTGAGAGGACTTCAGGACAGAGACCTGAGACCAGGACTATTGTGAGAGGACTAACAGAGACCTGAGACCAGGACTAATGTGAGAGGACTTCAGGACAGAGACCTGAGACCAGGACTAATGTGAGAGGACTTCAGGACAGAGACCTGAGACCAGGACTAATGTGAGAGGACTTCAGGACAGAGACCTGAGACCAGGACTAATGTGAGAGGACTTCCTGGATTGAGTCCGGACTCAAGCTGCAGGGTTTCACAACAGCAACTTAATTAAATGTATATGATTGAGTTGCTGTAGATCCAGGACTGGATCCTCCAGAGAGAGACCAGAGAGAGACCTGAGAGAGACCAGAGAGAGACCTGAGAGACCACAGAGACCAGAGTGAGACCAGAGAGAGCCAGAGAGAGAGACCAGAGAGAGACCAGAGAGAGACCAGAGAGAGCCAGAGAGAGAGACCAGAGAGAGACCAGAGAGAGACCAGAGTGAGACCAGAGAGAGCCAGAGTGAGACCAGAGAGAGCCAGAGAGAGACCACAGAGACCAGAGTGAGACCAGAGAGAGCCAGAGAGAGACCAGAGAGAGAGACCAGAAAGAGACCAGAGAGAGACCAGAGAGAGACCAGAGTGAGACCAGAGAGAGCCAGAGAGAGACCTGAGAGAGACCAGAGAGAGCCAGAGAGAGACCAGAGAGACCAGAGAGAGAGACCAGAAAGAGACCAGAGAGAGAGACCAGAGAGAGACCAGAGTGAGACCAGAGAGAGCCAGAGAGAGACCAGAGAGAGAGACCAGAAAGAGACCAGAGAGAGAGACCAGGGAGAGACCAGAGAGAGACCAGAGTGAGACCAGAGAGAGACCAGAGAGAGACCAGAGAGATACCAGAGAGAGACCAGGGAGAGACCAGGGAGAGACCAGAGAGAGCCAGAGAGAGACCAGAGAGAGACCAGAAAGATACCAGAGAGAGAGACCAGAAAGAGACCAGAGAGAGAGACCAGAGAGAGACCAGGGAGAGACCAGAGAGAGACCAGAGAGAGAGACCAGAAAGAGACCAGAGAGAAAGACCAGAGAGAGACCAGAGTGAGACCAGAGAAAGCCAGAGAGAGACCAGAGAGAGACCAGAGTGAGACCAGAGAGAGACCAGAGAGTTCTGGTCACTCACAGCTTGATGTTTTATTACAGTAGGTTTTACGCCTCACGCCCAAATATGGTCGTATAAAGCTCTATAATGTTTAACATCTCCATAAAACTGCATCGAGTAGATCTCGAACTCTCGCAGATCTCGCTCTGGTCCCTCCTCTCGCTCTGGTCCCTCCTTGAGTCTGTCGCTGCCAAAACCATGATCTGTTTCTGAGAACAGCTTCCTGGCTCGATGGTTTAACAAAGGCTCGTAAAGTGGACTCTCCTTCCGCTGACATCACCTCAGAGCGAGAGAGACACGAGAGAGACCCTGCTGACAACACCTCAGAGCGAGAGAGACACGAGAGAGACCCTGCTGACATCACCTCAGAGCGAGAGAGACACGAGAGAGACCCTGCTGACATCACCTCAGAGCGAGAGAGACACGAGAGAGACCCCGCTGACATCACCTCAGAGCGAGAGAGACACGAGAGAGACCCCGCTGACATCACCTCAGAGCGAGAGAGACACGAGAGAGACCCTGCTGACATCACCTCAGAGCGAGAGAGACACGAGAGAGGGACCCCGCTGACATCACCTCAGAGCGAGAGAGACACGAGAGAGACCCTGCTGACATCACCTCAGAGCGAGAGAGACACGAGAGAGACCCTGCTGACATCACCTCAGAGCGAGAGAGACACGAGAGAGACCCTGCTGACATCACCTCAGAGCGAGAGAGACACGAGAGAGACCCCGCTGACATCACCTCAGAGCGAGAGAGACACGAGAGAGACCCTGCTGACATCACCTCAGAGCGAGAGAGACACGAGAGAGACCCCGCTGACATCACCTCAGAGCGAGAGAGACACGAGAGAGACCCCGCTGACATCACCTCAGAGCGAGAGAGACACGAGAGAGACCCTGCTGACATCACCTCAGAGCGAGAGAGACACGAGAGAGACCCTGCTGACATCACCTCAGAGCGAGAGAGACACAAGAGAGACCCCGCTGACATCACCTCAGAGCGAGAGAGACACGAGAGAGACCCCGCTGACATCACCTCAGAGCGAGAGAGACACGAGAGAGACCCCACTGACATCACCTCAGAGCGAGAGAGACACGAGAGAGACCCTGCTGACATCACCTCAGAGCGAGAGAGACACGAGAGAGACCCCGCTGACATCACCTCAGAGCGAGAGAGACACGAGAGAGACCCTGCTGACATCACCTCAGAGCGAGAGAGACGCGAGAGAGACCCCGCTGACATCACCTCAGAGTGAGAGAGACCTCACAGAAACATCACCTCAGAGCGAGAGAGACCCCGCAGACATCACCTCAGAGCGAGAGAGACCCCACTGACTTCACCTCAGAGTGAGAGAGACCCCACTGACTTCATCTCAGAGTGAGAGAGACGTCACAGAAACATCACCTCAGAGCGAGAGAGACCCCGCTGACATCACCTAAGAGCGAGAGAGACCCCGCTGACATCACCTCAGAGCGAGAGAGACCTCACAGAAACATCACCTCAGAGCGAGAGAGACCTCACAGAAACATCACTTCAGAGCGAGAGAGACCTCACAGAAACATCACCTCAGAGCGAGAGAGACCTCACAGAAACATCACCTCAGAGCGAGAGAGACCTCACAGAAATAGAAACATAAAAAGCAGATTTTATAAAATGTTAAAATGGCCGCCAGAGGTTTATGAGCAGGTGCAGAGACCGGACCGAGACCGAGGGACTAATGTGGCAACAGCAGAGACAGTCCTGGGTCTACAGCCTCAGCCTCAGTCCTGAGTCTACAGCCTCAGTCCTGGGTCAACAGCCTCAGTCCTGGGTCTACAGCCTCAGTCCTGGGTCTACAGCCTCAGTCCTGGGTCAACAGCCTCAGTCCTGGGTCTACAGCCTCAGTCCTGGGTCTACAGCCTCAGTCCTGGGTCTACAGCCTCAGTCCTGGGTCTACAACCTCAGTCCTGGGTCTACAGCCTCAGTCCTGGGTCTACAGCCTCAGTCCTGGGTCTACAGCCTCAGTCCTGGGTCTACAGCCTCAGCCTCAGTCCTGAGTCTACAGCCTCAGTCCTGGGTCTACAGCCTCAGTCCTGGGTCTACAGTCTCAGTCCCGGGTCTACAGCCTCAGTCCTGGGTCTACAACCTCAGTCCTGGGTCTACAGCCTCAGTCCTGGGTCTACAGCCTCAGTCCTGGGTCTACAGCCTCAGTCCTGGGTCTACAGCCTCAGTCCTGGGTCTACAGCCTCAGTCCTGGGTCTACAGCTTGGTGACAGGTGTTTTTCTGTCCACTTTGGGCCCTACAAGTCTGGCCTGGCACCCCTCAATATTGGCGTTCCACAGGGCTCCATCTTAGGCCCCGCCCTTCTTTCGTTGTATATGTTTTATATAAACTATCTGAAGAAACACTCCTTTCACACTTCTGCTGATGACCTGCAGATCTACCTTTAATCCCACCTCAGTGTCAATCACAACACTGTTAGATTGTCTCCAGGAAGTAAGAAGTTGGCCCAAAATGTTTTAATTCTCAACGAGAGTAAAACTGAGTTAAAGCCGCAAGCAGCGTCGAACGGCCCTCGCCGCGCCGCACAAAGGAGGTGGCGCTGACAAGCCATTTTCCCACTGCCCTGATGGGAGCGACACTGTGCATTTTGAATTCCTCATTCTCCCCATGTAATACTTGACTTAGTCTGTAGGGGGCGCTATTGCTGCAATTTCGTCTTTTACACTTTCAGTTTACCCAAACCCGAGAGTTGAACAATCAATTCAAATGTTGTGCAAATCGGACTTTGAATGTGCAAATGGTGGCATTTATGTTGTAAAATAGCGCCCCCTACAATTTAATTTTTTTAGTCTTATACCAAAGAACACCAAACTAATACACTTTATGCCTGAAAAAAGCTTGTGGCAAAGTTTGGTGAGTTTTTGTGTTTGTTCAGTGGGACAAATATGAGATCAAACAACATAAAACCTAAATAACTGTATCCCCATGTAAACCTTTACTCAGCCTGTAGGGGGCGCTAATGGGCCAATGTCATTGTTCACACAGTCATGTGACCTAGACCCAGGAGTTGAACAACCGAGTCAAGTTTAGTGCAAATCAGAGTTTGTAAATGTGCTCCTGTTTACACATACAATCTGTGAGTGTGTCCATACAGTCTCCATTGGATAATATGGGACCTTCACACCTCTCTATGAAAATGACCACACTTTGGGAGTCTGTCACGCGCAGAGCGTTTGACTAATTCAAACTCTATATGCAACTATTGATGGTCCATGTGTTGAGACCATGTGGAGCGATTTTCAGACAAATTAGTGAAACGGCCGCGGCTGGTTTGATGTTTGAGCGAGGTGTACTTTTAAGAGATATAATGATTTTCCCATAGACACAGACAGGGGAGTGTAGGTCGTCGCCACGGCAACAGGGTAAAAAATAACCATATGTAGTCATTGACTTTTTGAATCCAGAGGACAAAACATAAGTATGTGCAACATTTCAAACATTTTCAAAAAACTAAATTTGAAAAAGCCCATGTAAAACTTTGACATAGTCTGTAGGGGGCGCTAATGAGCCAATTTCAATATTTCAACTTTCAAATGACCTAGACCCTGGAGCTGAACAATGGATTAAAATTTTGTGCAAATCGGACTTTGTTTGTTCAAACGGGAGCAAATTTACTTTTGTCAAAAATCCCCAAAAAAATGTCACATTTTGCCGCTCCGCTGCTCGGACAACGTTTAACTGATCCAAATTATATATTAAATAATTGATGGTACATGTGTTTAGACCATGTGGAGCGATTTTGAGACAAATCGGTGAAACGGCCGAGGAGGAGATAATTTCCAACCGACATGTGTGAAAAATATCAATTTTCATTTTTCCATTTCCCGTTGAAATTAATGAGCTCCCTGTTTGTCAGGGGGCGGAGCCATAATAACTTTTTTTTTCATGTCTTGACCTGAGGAACATGTGTACAGAATTTTGTGGCTTTACAGAGTTTCTACGACAAACTTGACCTCCGACCCCCTCCCATAGGCGTAATGTAAACTGACTTTTGTAGGGGGCGCTGTTCTGACAGTTTTTTAGTCCCATAAAATTGGGTTTTGGGTTCTCGGTGATTGACGAGCGCGTTATCGACGTGATGAGGTCCCCCCCCCTCCATAGGACCCCATTGTTTACACTGTGTACTACAGCAGGAGCAAAGCCATTCCACGGATTTATCAGTGTCTGGGCACGCGCCGTCGCAAGGTCACAATCGCCGGGACTTTAATGCGTTAATTACAATTAATTAACGCCACAAAAACGAGTGCGTTAAAAAAAATGAACGCATGTTAATCCTCACTGGAGGATATGTTTCAGACTGACCGATTATACCGGCGCACCAACTGAGCTCCGTGACTTTTCTTGTTCAAAAGTACATTATAACAAGCATAGACCATTTTAGCGTCCGAGCAGTGAGTAGTTGAATTATAATTTATGAAACGGCTCCTGACATCAGCGAGTACGACGGGCTTTCAGAACCCGCCGGTCAACACTTGATTCTGATGCTTGTTTTTAAATGTTTAAATGGTTTGGCCGCTGTGTGTCTGTCGGAGCTGTCAGATCAGTCAGGTCTGAATCTGCTCCTGTCAGATCAGTCAGGTCTGAATCTGCTCCAGTCAGATCAGTCAGGTCTGAATCTGCTCCTGTCAGATCAGTCAGGTCTGAATCTGCTCCTGTCAGATCAGTCAGGTCTGAATCTGATCCTGTCAGATCAGTCAGGTCTGAATCTGCTCCTGTCAGATCAGTCAGGTCTGAATCTGCTCCTGTCAGATCAGTCAGGTCTGAATCTGCTCCTGTCAGATCAGTCAGGTCTGAATCTGCTCCTGTCAGATCAGTCAGGTCTGAATCTGCTCCAGTCAGATCAGTCAGGTCTGAATCTGCTCCAGTCAGATCAGTCAGGTCTGAATCTGCTCCAGTCAGATCAGTCAGGTCTGAAAACCAGCTTCTGTTGAACGGGCCTCGGTCTCGTCTCAAAACTCGTGGAGACCGAGCCTTTTCTGTAGCTGCCCCAAACTGTGGAACAGACTCTGTTCGTTAGAGACGCTCCTTCATTGGACGATTTTAAGTCTAGTTTAAAAACACATTTTTACACCTTGGCTTTTAACACCATCTGAGTTTTACCGTTTTATTATTACATGTATGTGTGTGTTTCATTCTTTTGTTTTTATCTTTCGTGCCTGTGAAGCAGCTGCTGTATATGTGCTATACAAATAACATGTACACTGTGCCATGGATCTATTATGACCAGTAACCATTCACAGGAAACGGACACTTTAGGATCTCCATCCATCCATCCATTTTCTTCCCCTTAATCCATTTCTGGGTCGGGGGGGTGGCCAGAGATGCCACCCAGTACACTTAGCACCAGCCCCTCACTGATCCTCCTGCAGGTGGTGAGTCCACAGGAGCTGAGATCTTTCAGTGGGAGCTTCAGGCAAAGTGGGGTTAAGTGTCTTGCCTAAGGACACAACGACAGCAGTCATCAGTGGGAGTCGTGAAGAAGGTCTTACGGTGGGCTCGAACCCACAACCTTCAGGCTCAAAGGCCAATGCTCTACCAACTGAGCTACTGTCGCCCACTTTAGGATCTGATTATGTATATATGTTTATATATAAATGATTATGGATATAAGTTTATATATAAATGATTATGGATATAGGTTCAGTATATAAATGATTATGGATATAGGTTCATATATAAATGATTATGGATATAGGTTCATATATAAATGACTCCTCCCCCCTTGGACTGCCACCTTAACGTGGTGGGGGAGTTTGAGTACTCGGGTGATCCTGGGAGCTATGCTGTCTGGGGCTTCATGCCCCTGGTAGGGCCTCCCATGGCAGACAGGTCTCAAGTGACGAGTCAGACGAAGTGCAGTCCGAAGCAAACCTTGGACAGCACGACAATGAGAACCGTGACGTTGCCCGGCATGGCGCAGCCGGGGCCCCACCCTGGAGCCAGGCCTGGGGTCGGGGCTCGCAAGCGAGCGCCTGGTGGCCGGGCCTTAGCCCACGGGGCCCGGCCGGGCTCAGCCCGAAGGGATGACGTGGGCAGTCCCTCCTGTGGGCCCACCACCTGCAGAGGGGTCCGTGGTGGCGAGGTGCAGAGAGGACTGGGCAGCAGTCGAAGGCGGAGACCTCGATGACCCAGTCCACACACCCAACATCTGGCTCTTGGGACGTGGAACGTCACCTCACTGGGGGGGAAGGAGCCCGAGCTTGTGGGGGAGG